TGAAATGAATGAACACGTCTAGTGCAAGGTATCGAAAAGAAGAAACCTATCACAAACTACTACAACTCCAAAAGATGTGCTCTCAAGAAGCAATTTTAGATGAACTCTTACAATAATTAGTAGGAGAATGCCCATTCAAGAAGAGCATATCGAGTTAACGCCTTCAATCAGAAGAAAGTGTTCTGTAGAAAGTGTGTACATTAAATTGCCATGTTTCTGTGTTGCATCTTGTGAGACGAGAACTTGGATAGCAGCTTTAGTGTTGCATCTTGTGAGACGAGAACTTGGATAGCAGCTTTAGTGTTGCATCTTGTGAGACGAGAACTTGGATAGCATCTTCAGGACCTGCACTTGGGAAGATTGCCGTGCAGATGCAGCCAATATTATGTATAGTGTATTCTTGAATTCCTTGAAAGAATAAATATTATAGTCGGTTCAAGTTTTCATTTGAAGCTCATGGATAATTAAGATCGTAGGTATTTGACCACTCACCAAGAGAAATTTAACCGGCAAGAGGATTTGCATGGATGGTCACACGATTAAGCCTGATCTCAGCTAGTGGTCGATCACCTGGTCCTGTTTGTGTCTGGAAAGCAACAGCAGAATGAGTCAGCTCCGTTTAATAGAAGCCCAGCAAACAAAAAAGAAAATGCACCCAACAAACAAAAAAGAAAATGCAGACATCGCCTGTTTAAAAGATCAACACTATGTTTGTGGTCTCTCAAAAGTATTCACCTTTTCCATAAGGTCCAGAACTTCAAACCCATGAATGACTTTTCCAAAAATTGTGTAGAGTCCATTTAGATGAGGTTGCTTGGCATAAGTTAAGAAGAACTGGCTTCCGTTTGTGTTTGGGCCACTATTGGCCATTGAGAGTATGCCCCTCGCATTATGCTATAAAAAATTAAAGAAAACTGCATCAGAGCTTATTAATCATATAATTTCAATAACTAACAGAACCTTTGTTGAAATGCAAATAAGTCGTAAAACGTCTTGAGGAGACCACTTTACTGGAAAGTATTTCAATAAAAAAGATGAAATATAGTCATGAACAAAAATGCCTTTTTTACAATTAAAATGAATTTTTCGTAGGATGATATGTCTGCAGTAAGGAATGTCCATTCATTTTGCCACCTGACTATAACCCCATATATACCCACGGACAAGAGATGGCAACAAATTTAGTATAAATACCTTGAGTGACTCCCGGATTTCATCATTGAACTTCTTGCCCCATATGCTGGTTCCTCCCTTACCAGTGCCCGTAGGATCTCCACCTTGGATCATGAAACCCTTGATATTTCTATGAAATATGGTTCCATCATAATAACCACTGGCACAAAGTGCTAAAAAGTTCTGCATTATGGTTGATGAAGAATAAGTTTCTTCCAATATTCTATAGGCTAAAATTTACGAGAGCTATCTTCCATATATGGTCTTTCATGGCCAGAGGAGTAATTATGGAAGCCAGAAAAAAACTTCAGGAGGTGGCATATGATATCACAATAAAACATTCTCATCTAAAATTTGTTTCAACATAAAGTGGCTGTTCTACAGATTAGCATGCCTGCACTATTCATAGCTAAAGCAACATCACGTCTAACAGTTTGATCACCAAGTCCTTGTACTAAAAAGATGCATCACTAAGAGCATTCAGTATTAACAAGCGGCAAAACTTTGTTGGAGCAAACCCTGAAGATCCACTGTTTAATGTGCTTTACTTAATTGTGTACAGTATAAAAACCAGGCTGAATCATCTATTATTCTAGACAAATTGTGTTCATATAGTCATGTCAAAAAGTATTTTAGAAATCAGGTCCAAAAGCCAGATATCATACAAGATCTTAAGTAATTCAAAATTCACCATTTAAAGAAGAAAGGAACACATTTTTTCATAATTTTGTGTTGCATTACTCAATAGCATTCTAGTTCCTCTTTCATTCTATCATCCCTTGTCTTCCACACTTCACACTATAGAGTTTTTGTCCTATGGTCACTATCTCTTTGAGATAAAGTTGATCAGCTCCACCCAGCAACATTAGGTCATTTCTTGTCACAACCTAGAACCAGAGATATACATCTGATTTGTACAATAATGCCACATAGTTTATTTAGTCTATCATAGTGTATCTTTGGCCAACCCCATTAAATTTAAACAAGCTAAGTGGATCAACTAGATGCAACTGGCCATATATGTGGAATCCAATTTAGTCTAATGTTTAGATGCATGAGAGAAAAACATAAAAGGAGGAAGAAGGCCAAGATGAGAAAAAAACACAGCATGAAGATTAACATGATATCCGCCTCAGCGAACAACATAGCTAATAAGAACCATGAAATATGCCTCTGTAGCAAGTATATCTCCACAGGTGAGCAATATATAAATCAAGGAAATATAAGTCTAACCAAGTACTATGAGGACAATATACATATATATATATATATATATATATATACATGCCTTAACCATCTACGTGCAGATTAACATACATGGCTACCACCATCAATTAAATTGTGAACATGATTAAGAGGTAATAAAGCTAAATGCTTCTCAACAATAGCAATGTCATAGTTGAAATCATAATTTTGCAACCATATCATGAATGTTTGCGCACCTCCAAAGTTCTTTGACAAGCAACCTAACATAAACCCTATGGAAATAATTCCTAACTGACAGTGTGTGTAGTTAACCTAATGGCGCACACAACTTGGGCTTTAAGTCCTACAAATTCTACTATCATCAAGAAGAATTGACATTTCTGGACAAACTGATCCATCCAACAAAAAAAGAACGAGTCAATTTGCTTGCTATTACGAACCCATTCTATCGTTACAAAACCGGGGACCCTTCAGACGGCCGATTAAGCCCTAAGAAGGCGGCTTCCATGATTCATAATACTAAACCTAAACAATATCTTCTAGCAAATCTCTGTAAGCCGCGCGATTCCCTTCAGATGCTGAAGACGCTTCTAACCCTACACGAAGCAAAAAAACACGCCAAAAGGGAAGAAGGAAGAAACGATGAAGACATGAGATTAGAGAGAGAGAGAGAGAGCGCGCGCGCGAGCGAACCTCCGCGGTCTTGGGGACTTCGTCGCAGAAGACCTCGCACTTGATGTCGCCGAGATTCGTGTGCAGGGTGACCGACTGCATGAGCACGGCCGACAAGACAACAACAAAAACAAGAAAGGAATTGAGGGATCAACATCATTACAAGACTTGAAAACACGCAAAGAGAGAGAGAAGGCTAGCTACCATCGGCCCTGGTTGTCTGCGGATGGGGCGAGAGTAGAGGAGATGAGAAGCCGCTGCTGCTGCTTGTACTTTCTGTTGCGCAGTTGGGCTGCGGCGGATGCTTCTAGAGAATGGGGTGGGCTGTGGAGTTCTGTTTTTGTTTTCTTATATATATATATATATATGAGTCTCGTTTCTAAAGAATTAAGTTTTGTCAAAACAAAATTCTATACTAAATGTTATAGTCAAAACAAAATAGATAGGTTAAATGAGGTTGATACTATTTGTAAGAGTAAAACTTTACAAAGTACTCGAAGAAATCAATGATATAAAGATATGATAAGAACCAATAACAAAAGATATAATAGTTTAAAATAATCACATAAAGTTCAATTGAGGAAAAAAAATTAGCTGTAACCAAATTTAAAAAGATAAAAATAAGAATAGATAAATTTAAAAATAGATTTTTTTGATAGAATCTATAAGACATATTGCACAAGTTATTTAGATCATGCTTCAAATTATAAAAAAAAATATTATTTAAAAAATATATGAGTTTATTTTCAAATGAAACAAGTTTTATACAAATTGGAATCATCTCAATATAGTATTAAGAAGGCAGAAAATATTATCTCTATTTTACAAAATTTAAATGGTCAAAAGAAACAAACATTTAGATGATCAATCATGAAATCAAACACTTAATCATTAACATTGAATCATTACTACACAATAAAAAGCAATAGATTAAAAAAATGAATAAGAGAAAATATAATATTTTTAATCAATTATTATAAATATAATAGAAATCAAGTATTACAACTAACATCATACATACAAGATAAAAAATTTATAAAACTACATGAATAATAATAACATATCTTAATCCTATTTTAAAAAAATATTTATTTTTTTTAAATAAGAGAACCTACCTCTCCTTCCTCACTGAAAAACAAAGAATAAGAATCCCTCCTCTTAAATAATAAGAGATGAGCCCTCTACACAAGATAATAAGTTTTTTAAAAAAATATATTTATTTAATCTTTATTTTTTTTAATTTATTAATAAAAATAACATCATCCAACTTGAAATATTAAATATTTATTTTATGAATTTTATTAGCAAGAAAAAAAAAATCCAATGATCATGGGGGATTTGATTACAGCAACACATTAAGGCAGCAGAGTGACTTGCTATGGGAAGAACAAGGTTTACTAGGAGACCGACAACTTCAACCAATTGCTTGACATGCCACAAATAGTAAAACAAATCAAAAGCTTAGAATAAGCAAGATTTTGCTTTAAGAGCTGTTACAACTTGATACACGGGCATAGGTCCTGTTTAGCTGAGACTTAAAGCAGTGGAGAAGATTACAACAAATGTTATAACAAGACCAAAAAAAAATTGCATTTCAGTGGACATCCCCCACTACTACCAAAAAAAAGAAAAGAGAGAGAGAGAGAGAGAGAGAGAGAGAGAGGAGGGAGAGAGAAATCTGAATATACCTCTGCCGCTAGACAACTAGCATCCCAAATTAATTTTAACAGGGAGCAACAGGAATATGGAGGCTCTATAATGTCCTTTAACAAACCAGAGCAAGAAGTGCACCATCAAGCAACCCAAAGGTTAGAAGCCACATCATATGATATCAAGGAGCTTACTCGAGCCTCCCAACCAAAGGGTTCATAACTGTCTTAAAATTTCAACACTTACCTTTCTCTCCAGCTCTCAAAGTTTGTTGTGATATAGTCCCAGCTTTCAGTGACAGTGGGAACTCAGAATCTTAAACTGAAAATATATATATGTACTATTGAATGCCAATGGGAATTAGTTCTTGCCATCCGACTTTTGGAATGCACTTCTTCAAACAGAGAGCCACTTGCATAAGTTATCAAAAAATGCAAGCTGAAGATGAAAATTCTGAAAATTCAACAACTTAGTTGCTCTCAGTAATTCTGTGGATCCTTTCCATAACTATAGGAATATCCTGCTTTGTCAATGTTGTGAAGCAACATCTAAACCATCCAGGTTCAATACAGTGACATGATGACCCAGGTGTCACATTAATCTTAGCTTCATTCAACAGCTTATCCCACAGCTTAAGCTCCCCTTTCTCATTATATGATTGAATAAACATACTCATGTCTGCCCAACAATAGAACCCACCACTGCTGCTAGCACACTTGATACCCAACCGTTTCAGTCCATCAACAAATAAGGCATGCATGTCGCATAACTGCTCCTTGTTTACCTTGAGATATTCTGTAATGAATTTTGTATTCGAGAGAATTGAAATAAGCAAACATTGGGTAGGAGTCGAAATGGATGAGAACCTGGCCAGCTTTGACGCAGCAGCCAGGACATTTTCATTGTAAGAGTAGATGACCCCGATCCTAAAGCCTGGAACACAAAGATCTTTTGACAGTCCATATATTATATGAACTCTTCTCCTATCGAAGTTTTCTGAATCTAGAACTTCAGCCACACTTACAAATCTATCATTCCCATATGTTGATCCAGCAAAGACTTCGTCTGAAATCAGATGTATGTTTTTCTCCATAACAAAGTCCAGAAGATCATATAGTGTTTCCCGATCTATTAGATTACCAACTGGGTTGGAGGGGTTAGAGACAAGAACAGCACAAACTTTCACACCTCGCTTCTTTGCTTGGTTGTATGCTAGTTCAAGAGCAGCAATGCTTATGCTGAAGTTATCAGTGCTTCTGCAAGGAACAGGAATAAGTTCTATCCCAGTTCGCCACTTGATATCCCTATCCCACCTGCATTGGATGCTTCTTAGTTTCGTGTTTACTTGTAATAATGAAAATTTTCTTAGAGGATAAAATAATAATTACCCAGGGTAATAAGGTGATGGAACAAGAAATGCATTTCCAGGGTCAGCCAGACAGAAACTAAGTGTCTCAACTGCAGGAGTAGCACCTGCAGTTAACACAATTTGTGATGGATGGAATGAAACTGATCCCTGCATGACTTGACCCATAAATTCAGCAACAGCCTGTTGAAAAACAATGAACAATCTCAAGATGATGTTAGATTTATATGCCAGATTTTAAAAAGAAAAATCAGATTAACAACTCTTAACATGAAAAATAATAATAATAATAAAATATCATAGCCAGATATAAAATTTGACAAAAGACACTGATCCACTTGCAAACTGGAATAGATATAGAAAACTCTTGGGTAGTGATTTACGAATTAGACATGTATGATCGCTTACCTAAGATAATAACTCAAGCAAATTTCACAAGCAAGAAATCAGCTGTGATATGTATAAAGGCAGTCATACAAAAATATAAAAAATCACATAATGGGCAACGAAATGTACGCATGGCTTGAATATTTTTTTTGGCCTATGTTGTAGATATTCTTCATGGGTAGAAAGTTATTTCAGCAAGTAAAATCTGCCATCCAAATCTTAAAGTTATAGCATTCACAACAAGACTAACTCAAAAACATTCACAATTCTCGAAAATAAAATAACAGATTGCAAATGCAGATCATGCAGGTGTCTAATACACCTATATTTGTTAACATCTATAAATATAAAATTCTAGATGCAGCTTTCTAAGGTTGACACAACTGTGTGAAGTGTGTTAAAGTTACCTCTGCAACATCTGTCTGTTAACATAAAAAAAATCATCTACATGGATATTGCTTAATAATTCGGTTTGCTCCTACGATTGGCTTTAAGAAGCTTTCAATTCATGGAAGGATATGGCTGATGAGATATGTTTTGCTTTATAAGACAACATGTTCTCATACGAATCAGATTTCTGAAATTAATTCACAACATTTGTTATGCCATCATCTTTTTACCAGATGTGTATTCATTATACTACTGCAAAGAAAGACATGCACCGACATTGCCTAATCATTTGGTTTGCTCCTACAATTGGATTTAAGAAGCTTTCAATTCGTGGAAGGATATGGCTGATGAGATATGTTTTGCTTTATAAGACAACATGTTCTCGTACGAATCAGATTTCTGAAATTAATTCACAACATTTGTTGTGCCATGCCATCATCTTTTCACCAGAAGAAGTGTATTCATTATACTACTACAAAGAAAGACATGCACAGATATTGCCTAATCATTCGGTTTGGTCCTACAATTGGATTTAAGAAGCTTTCAATTCGTGGAAGGGTATGGCTGATGAGATACGTTTTGCTTCATAAGGCAACATGTTGTCGTACGAATCAGATTTCTGAAATTAATTCACAACATTTGTTATGCCATCAACTTTTTATCAGAATATGTGTATTCATTGTACTACTACAAAGAAAGAAATGCATACAAATTTTCTTAACTTTGCATCTAGTTTTACTAAAGAACAAAAAGAGGAATATTTGATGAGAACCAAATTGATGGGCAGCAAAAGGGAGATCGGTGGTCGTCTATTATGTTTCCATGCTCAGTTTCCCATTAGCTTTTACATCATAAACCGTATTGAAAATTTCGCCAAATCTATTAGAAACACAGACTTGAAGAATGTGCACCAGTATTAACAAGATTAATGAAATTAATCGACCTAGAAAACGAAAGCAGAGAACTTTTACTCACCATCTTCAAATCCATCAATCCATCATAAGGCTGATACGTCGCCAATCCGTGGATACTCAACTCTCCTTCCTCATCTAACAGCAATGGCTCCTTTACATTACCGACCAACCAATCTCGGATCATATCCAACGACAACTGTACCGAAGACGAGCACCAAACGGTAGGCCAAATCCTTTTATATCGGCCATCCAAATAGTAAAAAACTGAGGGAAGGAAGAACACCCACCCAATTCTCGGCCAACCCGAGCTGCATGAAGCCACGGGGATTGGACGAGTGATGGTAAGGATCCTCGGCGCACCTCTTAAGGCCGACGTAGTAGGGGTTGTCATCATCCCGGGCGACGGAAGCACCGCGCGATGAGAGACGCGCGGGCCCGGACGAGCCGCGGGGCGAGAGGAGGCTCCTAGAGAGCGAACGAGGCATGGGAGCGAGCTCGGGCAGGTTGGAGGCGGAGGAGGAGCGGCGGTCGCGGCGGATGTAGAGCTGGAGGAAGTAGAAGAGGGCGCAGGGGATGAGGGAGCCGAGGACGAGGCCACCTCTCCCCTGCACCACAGCCTGGAGCGGGACTATGACGCGCATAGCGGCAGGCGAACCCTACTCCTCCTCCTGGTGTTTCTTCCTCTAGCCGACGGGTGCCTGCGGGGCGGGGCGGGGCGGGGCGGGCGACGTAATGGGTTAACGGCCGAGGTGGGGAGGAGAGAGGAGGAGCGGTATTGCATCCATGGATGGAGCGAGCGGAGGAAGGCCTCTTTATGAGGATGTTGGGATTGGGGTGGGTTGGGGTTCGGCGAAGATAATTAGGCGAATGTGTGCCGCTAGTTCTGCTGACGAGGGAGCAATTTGAACATTTCTTTGGCTTGTTTGCTAAATCTTCCCCATTTATCAGGCAATATTTCTTATTTTCTGATGAGGGAGCATTGCACCGTCGAACGGAGCTCTAAGTAAGTCTAGAAGACGATTGGGTGTATGTCTTCCGATCATCCTCAAGATTGCTCCACAATCAATTCGATCCAGATTAAGCCCACGTGTGACCAACCCCAATAAGATACGAACCTGACCACACCAACCTCAAACCCAAATACGGGCTTCAATTACAGTCATTAGCGGGCTCCAATACCACACCAATCCCAATAAGACTTGGCTCCGACTATGCTTATGCAAGAGTAAAAAAATTATGACATCACAATTATTGAATCATTTTTAGAATCATTAATAAAAAATAACATAAAAATCGATTGAACCATCTTGAAGCACCTTATGCATTTCTAATCGAGCAAAACATCTCTTTATACATGATACATTTACACAATACATACATACGAGGGTTTGATACACTCCAACAAACCAAAATAACATCTCCTCATGTATTATGATGCGTAAAGACAAAAAAGACACCAACGTGTACGGTGCACCCTAATCATGGAAAGCATGTCCTCGTGTGCAATTCATCCTCATAAGACAAAAAATATATAAGGTGTCTCCTAAAATATGATACATCTTCTTAGATTAAAAAAAATTAAAGTACTATATAAGGAGAAAAATTAAAACACACAACCAAATCATCTACTTTTGCATATACGTTGAACCAACATTATATATATATATATATATATATATATATATATATATATATATATATATATATATATATATATATATATATATATATCAAACATAGTAAATGTGAAGGTAAAAAATATTCATTGCATATGAAGTATTCATCCAAGACAAAAAAAAAATATCATAAGCACTCAACTTGACTGACATGGTTAAAGTGTCTCCTTGCATGAAATGTACCCACTTAGATAAAAAAAAATTCCTAAGAAAAAAAAGGAATTGCTTATGCATGTGTCTACCTAAGAAAAAAAAAGACATCAAACTATCCAATATGTCCGAAGCAACCAAAGCATCTCCTTATGCATGATTTGCTTTTTTGGGACAAAAAAGAATACCTGAAGCATCAGTCATGACTAAAACATCTTCTTACATATGATATGTCAACCCAAAGAAAAAAAGAATCTAAAACGTCTCATGATACATTCGCTTAATATAAAAAAAAAATTTAAAGCGCTTAACATAACTAAAGCGGTCTCTAATGCTCGATGTATTCATCGATGATAAAAAGTACTATCCGAATCATTTGATGCAACTCTCGATGCCAAAGAATCCCACAAGAATGTTTGCTTAGGTTAGGAAAATCATCGCAAATGTTTGATATAGCTGAGGTGTCCACTTGCTTATTATGCATTCACATATGATAAACAATATTTGAAATGCTTAATGCACCATAGCAAACAAAGATATTTTCTATATACGATGCATTTGTCTTCAGCAACGTACATTGTGCATTGAAATGGACAAGTAGCCCTCATCACCCTATGTCTAATTGTCCAATTGTATGTCATGTCAACATGATGAAATCTAAAAGAATATTTGTTTATTAAAACGCTCAACTTTAACACTCAAAAAATGGATCAAATAATTTCACCACATAATCTTGGCACATCGAGTTATGGGACCAAAAACCAAACAGGACTCGAGTAAATCACTTCGAGCAATTCTAATACTAATCCAATATCTCATGTGTTTCCAACACTCATAAACGGACACCCTGAAGAACTCATACACATACCTCTTCATTTGGACCGGCAACACTCCGCTTTAAACGGAACATCCCTAACAAAAAGAACACAGGAACTCCCAAAATGACCTAATCTAGCAAGTCCAACTGCAGTCGTTTTAGGTCTTCCATGGGTCTGAACCAAAGGAATACAACTCATTCAAAACCTGTACCATGGAAGAAAGGATACACCAACGATGGGGTTGGATGTACAGACCATCAAAAAGGTCCCATAAGCATCTCTTTTTCCATCACAAGTTACTGTGCCTGATCCTAAACACGGCCGTCGGATCGTCCCGATTGTAGCATCCCCCCTTCCCCTCCATAACACTAGATGATCCTCTACAGCAACACGCCAGTGTCATCGTGATCCCCAATTGTTCTTAGAGCACGATTACAGATTCCATCGACGAAACACGTGAGGTCAGTTTCAACATATCGCTTCGGGCGTCACTCCCATCTCGAGTCTATGACAGCAACCTTTGAAAGGCGTCGAACACGACTGGTCCACTTCGGTGCTGACCGGGGAACGTAGTACTTCCCTGCCTCCGCCGAGACAGGAAACCCCATCACCGATAACTGCTCACCCTCGGACACGCGTCGTACGGACCCCCGGCCAGGCTCCCCATCTACAAAAGCACATGCCGCCTTCCGTCGTCATCTTGGGGCCCACGATACGACCCCACGCCCGGCCTACCCTCGCGGTCCACGGAGCCGCTTTGACCGCCTCCCGCACCACCCAAAACTTCGTTACAGGAGAAAAAGGGGCTTTTAAATAGCTACAATAAAATTAAAATACAATATCCGTCACGTGCCCACGTGCGCACTTCCCTGTTACCCAGAAAGTAAGAGGACAAAAAACATAGCAGTCTTTCATCGCCTTTCCTGATGAACTACACAGCACGACAGGTTAAGAAAAGCTCAGTAGAAGAAAATGAAGTTAGAAAAAGGAAGAGCCTAAAACGAAACCTAATCCTCGGCATCCGACTCCGATGGCGGTTCTTCCTCGGCATCCGACTCGGATTCCTCCTCCGTCTCCAGCAGTGCATCTCGGCGGCGGCCCCTCGCACCCCCCATCAGCTGTAGCTCTTGCTTCTTTCCGTCTGTGGAAGTAACCGCTTGTTCGTTTGTTCTTGGCTCGCCTCCGCCAGCGGCGGTTGCGACGTTGGGACCCGGCGCCGCGCCCGGGTACACGGCGGTGGCCGCCATGGGATGAGGTCCGCCGAGGTTGATGATCTGTGACGCGGCCGGGAACGTCCATATCTGCGCCTGGCCCGACGGCTCGACCATCGCGGTAGGCTGCGGCAGCATCCACAGCGCCCCTGGCGGTAGCACCCTCGCTCCGTCGGAGGAGGCGCCGCCTCCCACTGCCCACATCGGCACCACCCCCGTCGGAGCGATAGGCGCCAGTCCCGTCGATATGGAGATGGAGCCTCCACCTTGGAGTAAAGGATCTTGAACCGGGTAGAAAGCCGTAACGGCGCTGCCGGCGGAAGCGGAGCCGCTCCCCGCCGCCCGCGTTGGCTGGAGCTTCTTCCGTCTCTTTGTGGCGGACTCGTCCTCGCCGGAGGTGGACGTTAGCCCGGCGGATGAGGAAGAGGGTGCCTCGGTGGGGATCTTGATCGCGCCGTCAACCACGGTGGCGATGGCCGGGACGGTGCCGGTCCCCGTGGCCGCGATGATGGCCGGCTCCGCGTGTTGGAGGAGCCAGCGGATGGTCTCTCCGTCCGATTTATGCCCGAGCTCACGGGTGAGTTGGAAGATCCGCGCGGCGCAAGCCGCAGGCATCCGGATGCGCCGCCCCCGCCCCTCCACCTTAGTGTGCCGGTCCTTGGTCCTCGCGGCAGGTCGCCGCAGTATCGGTAGCGCGCCCATGCCCAGAAACTCCATGGGCTCCGGCTTTGGGGCGATCAACCGGTGGTGGACCGGCACCGCTACGCTTCCGCCGCCACCAACTCCACCTCCCCCGCTGGCTCTCCCCGACGCGGCGTCGTCCTTCTTGGGCGATGACTCCATGTCCGCAACCAAAGCCTTCGCCTTTGTCTCTTTCTTCTTTCCCTCCTATCCAAGTCTCTCCAGTGGGGCTGGGGGGGGGGTGGGGTGGGGGAGTAGGAAAGAGGGAACAAACCCCTGTGAGAGAAGCCCATCCTCCTCTTCATTTTTAGGTATCGTGCCAGGGCCCCAATACGGAGGATCGGACGGCTGCCAGAAGAGGTAAACCCACCGCCCCCGAAACTTCCCTATGTTGGGCCGTCGGATGCTTGGCGACTCCGCCTTTGATTTCGCTTGATGGTGGGGATCGGACGGTTGGGGACGAGTTGGCGTATTCTCGTCGGATGTGCTGTGGGTCCGAGGGGTAGGTGGCCCGAAGCCCTCGTTCGTTTCTCCGTCGTTTCATCCAATGCTGTGTGGCTTGGGTAGGCTCCTCCTTCGCTGCTTGGGCTAATTGAGGGAACTCAGTTTTACGCTCATCCTTTGGTGCTTAGTATGGAATTTTCCAGTGGGTCCCTGGGTTTATGACTGGTGTGTCGGTCTTCCCTGGCTGCGGAAGACAACTGATGGGAAAAAGCACAGTGACCGACGCGTCCACGTCCAAAAGTTTCGAGTTCAAAGCCGACGTTTCGGAAGCCCATTGGTGGGTATGGTGGACTTGGTGCCGGTTGGCCGTAAGGAGAATAAAGTAAAGATTAGGCGCCTTAGTTTTTCTTTGAAGGTAAACAATTAAAAAAAACAAATATAGTAAGAAAATATAGAAAGGGCAAAGAGGGGAGGTCGCCGTGGCGCTCGGAAATAAGCCAGCTGGAGCCAACACAGTGACCGGGGACCACCGCCCTTAGTTAACGCACGAGTCGGGCCCCCACATCCAGGCGAATCTCCCGTGGTTCGGTTTGTGTACAAACCAAGTTATTTAATTCTATTTTATTTTTTTGGTTTTTGTTCATTATTTAATCAAGAAGATTATCAAGTAATACATACACTTTGTATTATCAAATATGGGGTTTCTATAACCCGATCGAATTTTGGGTTAAGTCCAACTCACTCTAACTCCAACTAAGGAGGTTGCGCCCTACGTTTTTTTATGACTTAAAATAGATAGAAAATGTGACACTGATCGATTCAAGGAAGGAGAAGATGAAATGGAGGGCGCAACACTACGCCTCATTCCATGCTAATAAAAATAAAATAAAAATCAGCACCAAGTTATGTTTGCTTGTTTTTTTCGAATATAAGTGGTTAAAGTCATATCTGATCCCAAATCATGAAATAAATTTTAAAGTTTTTTTTTTAATTTAACAATAAATTGTTTATATAGTCACTATTGAGAGTCTTTGGTCCTGTTTGTATAAGAAACTTAAATATGGAAAAGAGTTGCATGTGGAGGACCGAACCTTGAAAATTAAATTTTAATTTTTTATTTATAGTTCATATATCTCGATATCTTGGTCACGGTGGAAAAGAGTGCTCATATATTTCTCCCAACAGCTTTTGAAAGATGTGGCAATAAAGATGAGAAATTATTCTCATAGTTTATTTCAGAGGATATATAAAAGAATTTATGCTTGGATTGAGATTAACTCGTAAATTTTTAATCTTATGGGATGGTAAAAAAACTGTAATGGAATAACAATAGATAGAAAAGGCATACTATGGTTTTAAAGGATACATTGGTAATTAAAAAAATAAGAATATGACATGATGATATTTGATTTTTTATTATATTTATATAATATTTAATTAGGAATGTTATTTTCTCATAATTTTATATACTTTTTATTTATTATATTTTAATGACTCAATGCTAATGGTTAAATATTTTTATTATAATTTCATTATGTCATATTTTAAATTTAAAAAAAATTGATTAGAATTTAAATTGAAATCAACAATGAGGTTAGGCCCAAGCAAGCTAGATCGCAGGCTATAGACTAGGTCTAACTAACATGTCAAGCTCAGCTAATAAGCTAGACCCAACCTGCATGTCAAGCCTCAGCCCATCTGATAAATTAACTTAACCCAACATGAGTGTGATACAACCTAATATGATATATGCATGTGTATGCATATAACCAATATATGGGTTGGCTCAATTTAGCCTGGTATCATGTAGTATAACTCATTATCATTAGTTTACTTAATTTTAATCTAAAAATTAATTGAATCAAATCATATTTGATCAGTTTAGATCGATTCAGTATGATTTCAAATAAGTTTGACTTATTTAAATTTGTTTAACCTAAATTAAACTCGATATGATCTAAGTTGTACTAATCTAAGGTAAGGATTTGAGACAAGTTCAAATAGGTTATAGTTAAATTGAGTTCAATTGGATCAATTGTGTTAAGGTTTAAGTCAATTGAATACTAATTAATATTATTTGATATTAATAATATTTGAAAGATTAATTGATATATTTTAATAAATTATTATTGTTAGTCATAGGTGTCGTGCAAGCCAATCACGTGAGTGATGACATGCACTCTTTTTGCTTATTATATTATTATGACATTCTCTCACTTTATATTGCTTGCTGTATATATGCATATATATTATGATGTTCGTGGATTTATGCAATAGAAAATCGGATCGTGATGAGATCATGATAATGAGACAAATTCACCTTTAAACACAGACCATAAATAATCATAGTCATATGTTACTCGAGAGGGATATTGAGATAACCGGACAGACTAGTGTATCGTATACTCATCCATATGATGGAGACAATTGGTCTAGTAGTTGCTCATGTGGAGATACTAAGGATACAATGCATGTGCTCATTGGAGAATGAGTTCACTAATTGATTCGCTCATGGAATACTGGATGATCGATGATGCCTTATTGTTAAACAATGATTCTGTAGTATCAGTAGTGCATATGGTCCTTAGACTTAAGACACCAAGGATGTCCTGTATAAGTACTCTGCTCTTTGATGTCCTGTATGAGTACTCTGCTCTTTGATGTCAGACTTATAGGTTTGAAAGTTTCAAATCTAGTACAACCAAGAATTGGGAGTGGTAGCTAACCTTACGAGAGCTATTGAGTGTTTATAGAGGATCATCTGCTCTTAGTATTTTGAAAGGAATATCCCGTGTGTTCTTGCTCAAACAAATCCTTGACCAAGGTCATTCGGATTGAGAGAAAAAGAGTTCTCTTGGAGAATCTGATTAGAGCGAGACTTGAGGAGAAACCGTATGGGCCTGATAGCACATGTCCAGTATATGGTCTTTTGGATATTAGATGGTTGAGAGACTATATGTACACGATAACTGAGGACAGATAGGTCCAAAGGATTGGATTCCCCTGTATCGTCTAGGGACTACGACGTAGTGGCCTAGTACGTCTGCGTCGATGAGTCGAGTAAATTATTATGGAGATAATAATTCACTAAGTCAGAAGGAGTTTTAATATGTATGACTCATAGTTAGCTCAATATTAAGCCTAGAGGGTCATATACATATGATAGGTGTTGCGACGAGTAGATGTTCAGATATGAGATATCCGTTGGAGCCCATATCTTATTGGATATCCAATAAGCCCTTGATCTCATGGATGAGATCCAATAAGAGTTAATAAGATATTATTGGGTAGAGACCCACTAATCTAAGAGGTTTGGGTAATTAAATGGAGATTTAATACCCAATAGAACAGGATTCATTAGGGTTAATTGGAGGCATCTATAAATAGGAGGGAACTAAAGACCCATAGGATGGGGCTTCTAAGTTACCACATCCTATTCTTCTCTCCCATTCTCCTCCTCATATAGGAAGATTCGAGGAGCGTAATTACAGTCTTCTCTCCCATTCTCCTCCTCATATAGGAAGATTCGAGGAGCGTAATTACAGTCATGCTGTGTGGATCACCGCTAGAGAGGAGGACGCTTGACCTCCTTCATCCACTCTTACAGATCTATAGCGATTTAGCGATATACGATCGTCTTATGTAACATAATTATCTCACGCATGATTTTCATTTTCGCGGATTTTACGCAGCAATTTTCGCACGACAATGAATACATTTTGAAAATTTTAGGATTTTTGTATTTTGTTCTTCCGCTGCGCATGTGATATCACCCCTAGATTTCCTTACAATTTCATCATTATATAGACATAACCAATATGAAATGATTTTGTTTCTCCACCAAGGGCAAGTAGAACGATTCCCTTTGGGGATTCGTAGGCCATTAGACATGATGGTTCTTCCCTTTATTGTTGTGAGGAATATATTCTCACTTTGATAAGTGAGGGATACCACTTTATACACTATTGGGAGTATGATATAGGTTTGTCTCTATCCACTGTTTGGAGAATATAAATTGATCTCATAAGATAAAGCCTCTCTATCTACTGTTGAAGGAGTGTTGATTCAGGTATTTGAAATATGCTAATAGGATAATTAACTTTTGTACATATATTTGTTTTACAATTGATTTATAGAGGTTCTTAGTCCTTAATTTTTATTTTCAAAATAATCTCTCAATAGTACTAGACCAATATTCAGTAGAGAGTAGGTTTTTTTTATCACGAGATATATTCAATTGGACTTTATTTTTGAGTGGAGAGCATTATATTTCTCGATAAGGCATATGGCTATTTTTTATTAATATTTGATAAATAAAAAATTATAAAAATATTTATTTAACTCTTAGTGCACCCATAGAAAGATATT